GATTACCATTGTAAGGTTTAATTTCATTGGTGTACGTAATTTGACAAACAAATTAAAAAGCGACTGCAAACGTTGAACTCAAAACGTCACATAATATTCAAGTAGGCACGCTCGCCAAGGGGCAATACATATACAAGAAAGTTTACACACTCTTCGAGCAAAATAACAGCTTCAAAAGGGCACAGATTTAACTCTGCCACCACCAATTTGCCTGAGGAATCAAGAGGTGCTGGCAGCTAAACTGTCGTGAGTTTTACCGAGAGCCACTTTACAGAGAAGAAGGCAGCCCCGGGAGGAACTGGGTGAGGTACAGCAGTAATCAGCCGATCTGCACGCCACGTAAGAGAAGTAGGCGACCTTGCCAAACATATACCCTGTTGAAGGCGCATCAGGAGGTGCTATTTGTCAACCTTGTGCTCTACCAAGCATGAAGGACGAGGAACGCACAGATAAGCAATTATAGCTACTTAAATCGATTTAAGTGGAATTAGAGAACACACAGGTGCCTGCCCGGTTTGAGCGACGAGAACGGAACCAGAGTATCATGCAATTGTCCAACGCCTTTGTACGCTCCGACTCCCCCTCCCTCAAAAAGGTGTCTATCACCTCCACAGTATAAACGAAATGCGTTGAAGCGTGAGTGATCTACAGGTGGTGCGCCACCTGTTCAATCCTCCCCAAGTCCTGATCAAGGGCTGACGGAATTATTCAGAAAACAGTAGCTGTTGAGGTATTGACGAGTTCGACATCCGCACCTCAACCCGATTCTTGACTTTTTCATAGTTCTCATCAAGACAGATGACGTTGGAGTCGCTAGCCTTCATAAGAAAATAGGCTACATCCATCTTCAATCATTCATCTAACGCTCGACACTTGGTTTTGATCACCTTCAAGCTATCCAGCAATAGTACCACCTTCAGACCAAAGTTGTGCGGAATGCGCGCATCAAAGTGCAATGTGCTGCCAATCAGGCTACTCACGTCTAGCCCTTCGATCAGCATTTTTGATGCTAGTAAGTTATAAGTCGCTTAAGCAGCATAGGTTTTCTGGACCACCTGCACTCGTGACATCTTCCACAGTGGCATTTTCCCGCCATCAATCTACAAAAGGACATAAACTGGGATACTTACTCAAAAACATTTTGTGAATGGTCGACATTAAGAGGCAAGATCGACCTCACACTCCAGCAAAGCACCAGTCATTAGGTCGATGTCGAAAAGGAAATGAATGAGTTCCCAACGTCGATTTTCCAGCTCGAGTGACACCTGATGCACGAGTTTTGTCTTTTCACCGGTCTCATCGTTCCGTACAACGAGATAGGATGGTCATAGAAATCCCTACAAATAACTCTAAACATGTACGGGGATTCTGCTTTACTCAGACTGATGTGGAGAAGCGCCAAAAGGAGTCCAAATATAAAGAAGGGCTTAGAAACCACCCCGTGTTGCAAGCTAATATGAATCGAAGCGCTCTTGACAAGAACGAACCATCCACAGATAAACTTG